AAGGAAAAAGGACAAATCAGACAACTGACGCATCTCTGCTTGCATTTCTGTCCTCTTTTTTTCTGTTTCTTCGATGATGCAGAAGTTTGAAACAGCTACTCACATGTAATCACTAGATCTATATTTTACAGGTACTGATGAAAGGTTTGGTTTCTTTAGCATCAGTTTCATTGAGGGATCTTGGACGACAGGGACGCCCCCAGAAAATGTTGCTAGGGCTTGCCAGATGGGACCAAAGAAATGTTTGGCGTGGCACACCAAATTGGTCCTTGTGGTAACTCTGGGAGAGTTTAGCCTGTGGTGATGCATTGCATTGCTCCTTTATTTGTTTAATTAAAAAAAAACTGTACATATCCAAAACATTTAAATTCATTTTTACTAAGATAAACATTTCAGAAACATATACTTTCAGTTATTTAAAATGTTATTTCTATTTAAATTTTAATATGTATATGTTTTATTTTAATTCACCTGTTGCTGTGTTCACAAAAAAACTATATGGAGATACATTTTTTTTAATGATGAGCAGCAGAAACGTGTATTTTCTTTATTCTAAATATTTCTTTACTCATTAATTGGATTATTTTTATTTTGTTTTACAATTATGTCTTGAATACATAAGATCAATGTATAGTGTGAGTGAACATTAATATGGTTTATTAACACTTGCCTTTGCTGGGATGGGGGGTGTAACAATTTTCCAAGGGGTGGCCATGGTCACCCCTGGCCACCCCTTGGGGGTGCCATTGTTGGACGAGTCAGAGAAAGTCAACATGTTATTTTGTCTGTTTCTGCTACCCCGACCATGCCATTCATTGTCCCCCTTCAGATGTAGGTCCATTGGACAATGGAGCGGCCGGCATGACACAGCACAGTCTATTGATTGGGGAACAGTAAAATGTTACCGCTTTGCGATGAGCAAAGCTAACACCAGAGTGCTGTTGTTTGTATCGTTACTTGTACACATATGTGAGAAGAGGCCAGCATTATTAGCAAAGTTTGGTCTGCTTCAGATCTACCAATGTTCCTCACTAGTGTCGGTGTTAACTAGTCTAGTGAACTAGACCAAATTCTTCTTTGCAAAATTTGGTCTAAGAACGCTCCATTGGATGCTTCGCAGACCCTAGCAGCATTCCGGCTGGCCAATCACAGCTCTCTAAAGGGGTTTCAAACTGATAGAGCACTGTGATTGGTCCACAGTGATGGGCTAAGCACAGCTCTCTCTCTCTGCTTTGTGGGCCAATCACATCGCCCTATCACCTTTAGGTGTTTCCTGGAGGACTACTCAGCCTAAAACAGCTTGGTTTGAGACAGCCCATGTGAGAGCTTGTCTGCTCCACAGAAACACACCTCAGCTCAAATATGGTGGTGTTGCTGGCCAATTTGCTCAGTTTTATGGCTTTTTAACTCTGAACCAGGAAATGGCTGCAAGCAGTGAAACAAAAGGCAAAAATCGCTGCAGCAACCAGTGACTCTGCCCACAAGCCAATCAGCAGCCAGAATCACAATGCTGGCCCGACTCAGCCTTGCCAGGTGCCTCATCAGAGCAGGGACTAAAAATGGGGTGAAAGTAGACAGGAAGTACCGAACTGGGAACAGTGGTCTGCCATGTTGCATTGGTCCAAGTCGCGGAGTAGTGCCCCTGGAAAACTACCTATAGGGGGCCAATCAGGTACCTCTACTTGTCTGGTGGGCGGGTTGATGCGACGGAGTGGAACGGATGGTGACAGCTCCTTTGAAATGGCCTTTACATCAATTTTGGACTATTTGGACTCGGGCTTCATTAGAATCAGGAGTAGATAGATGTATTTAAATACATTGTTCACTATCCAGTAGCATGCAGAGATCATCAGAAAGACAATGGTAGAATCCGCCCCACGACAGAGAGCCGTCACTGGAGCATTGCCAGACTAAATGTGGCTAGGTGATAACCATATACAGGATGGTAAACATTTAGGTTTAACCACACTTGCTAAGTGAGAGTTCAACTGTCTTTCCCCTAAAATGGCAGACACGTACCAGGCCATACCAACCCACAATGACCTGCTCCGACACAGACCATTGCACTCAATGGAACCAAGGTCATTTCCAACAAATGCAAACAGGTTGTTTTAAACTTTGGACTTAACTCAAAAAGCACTAGATGGATATTAGTTAAATTAAACTAGATGGATATTAGTTAAATTAAACGTTGCAGGATGCTTAATCAATTATCAGTTTGAGTCATTAGAGATGGCCACCACAGCTGACTGATCATAGGAGACAAATAAATAACTGAAAATCTGTCACTTTTCCAGACATTGTCCCTAATTTCCATGCTGTATGGTTAAGAATCATCCAGACCATCTATCCCATGTGCTAACCAATCCCATAAGATTTGGTGCATGATCATGTATAAGGTTGTTATTAATGTTTGACACAAACACCTCAATGTGGGAGTTAAATCTCAAAATTACATTATGACAGTTTATGGAAATTCACTATAATATTTATGTTTATGCAAATGAATGAAAATAAAAGAAACATTGTCTGTAGCTGCGTTTGCACGTTGTAGTGTTTCTTTGTGCAGGCAAGGAGCGTCCTTCATCTTTTTTTTTCTATAATCTATTGTACATGACTGTGAATCTTGGGCTACAACCCTCTACACAAGATGCTGTCACATAATAAATTATTGAGGACACTGGGGAACATAAATGCTTTGTAATGTCACATTGTCTATAATTTGATACGGCGCTTTTTAAAACCTTTGCACAATACTATATTACAAATGAGTATTATTGTGGATGATATGATGAGACAGAGCCCTTTCTCTGTCTTTTGTCAACACAAGATAACTTTAGTTTAAAACTTTGCCATGATACTAGTTTTGTGCATTCCTTTGAGGATTGCAAAGCCTTTAATTGTACTTTTTTCAGTATTCTCAACTAAATAGCAAATGGTTACAGGGAACAAAATGCTTTACTTATTGATTGCTATATGAGCATGTTTCAGGAGTACAATGTTCATTTGTCTTTCTTTCTAATTTGGAAGTTTCAGGGGAAAAGATTGCTTCCAGTAAAACCAAACAAACAGAAAAACACCTCCTCATTTGGATCAATCGGTGGCAGATACGGCACATTCCCTGGCAGAACCTTTTGTTTTGTTTCTGTTTTCTCTCGTCTTCCTTCCTCCTCCTTAGAGGAGGTGTGCTCCTCTCCTGATGGTAAAATGTAAATAGCATTTTTAATTAAAATGATATCCCCTGTTTCTCTCTGAAATCAGCGGACTGTTTCCTGTTTGCACGCAGGCTAACAATGCGCCTCCCTGCTGACCTAACCCACTTGTCACTGCCCTCTCAGCATGTGTCTGAGTGCCGGTCCCACCTCCTAGCGATCTCGGTTTAATCTTCACATTGCTCCCTTGCTATGGAGGTGCAAGCTGGAGCGTCAGACAAAGGAAACATTCTGCAATCCCTCACTGGCCGTCCCACCGGAAATCTTATTGTTTAAGTTCACATCATTGCTTGCAAGTCTGGCCTGAATTAGCGTTCAACTGTAAAACAATTAGCACATTTAAAATTGCTAAACAGATATTTTCTTCACTGATTTTCAGTAAATCACTTCTTTCTGTCATGAGACCAACTGCAGCAGCTTTAATAACACTGGAAAATTCAACACAAATCCTTTAAAAAACCAAGAACCTCTTTGCCCCTGAAAAGAAAATAATTTATAAATTTAATATCTGGCTGAAAAACTCATCAACACAAAAGCAAAAATGCAGGCAAGAGCAGGTATCAATTTAGACATAATGCTCAGAATTATAGCAAAAATACTAAAAAATAAAATAAAATATAAAAAAGCTGCAGTTAACAGAGAAATAAAGTTGTGTTTTGTCTTTTCATTTGTCTCTGCCTGCTTGGCAGAGCTGAATAGCCTCCCACAGCCCCAGAAACTTGCTCTCTTTCCAAGCCCACCCTATCTTTTTCTTCTCACATCTCCCCTCTGTCCTTCTTCTCTTGCTTCCTTATCTCCTCTCAGTACCGACCTGTTTGTCAAGTGGTTTGACTTCCTATTCATGTAAGCCTCATTGAAATTGAACAACCAGTCCATTGTTGACAAAGGGACCTGACACCAGCAATGCAGTGTGTGTGTGTGTGTGTGTGTGTGTGTGTGTGTGTGTGTGCACGTGTGCATTAATTTGTGTGTGTGTGGCCTCACTTGCCCCTGTGTGACAGTGAGATGCAGTTGGTTGCTCGGTTGGACAGAGGCGGAAATGGCCAGAGCTAGAATGAGCTGCTTGGAATACCAACATCACACACACACACACACACACACACACACACACACACACACACACACACACACACACACCTAATTTCAACACACTCAGAGAGCATAAACAGAGCAGGAATATCAGCTCCTGGAGCAGCACCTCTCCACAACAGCAATCTATCACTGTCTCAACGTACCAAAAAAAAAAAAAACATCTTCAAACAAGCAAACACCCTCCTGTTTATGCTCATGCAGAGCTGAGTGAACACACACATTAAAATGGAGAGTTTTAAGGAGAGCTCCACGGGTTCTATTCTAAAAGTCTGAGCTGGTACCTTTTGAAGGTTCACTGCATTTCTCATTTCAAACCTGAACGTTTGCTGCAACAAAGTGAAGTCTAACACAAAATCTACTCTTCTAATTATCTGTTACACTTTCAGTGTTTTTCTTTTGATTCTTTTAATCATGCTTTAGATTAGACTCAGGGATAATTGCCCTCATTATCCCTGTTACAATTACTTTCCCTTAAACCGCTCATTTACCCACTGCCAGACTTAATTTCTCGCTGATGGGAAAACGTTTTGCAGCAGCTCAGACAAGAAAATCCTCCCCAAAAGCTATAGATTAGTTTGTCGAGCTTCACATTCAGATAAAACTGGGGTTTTCTGTTTTAAAATGTAGTTACTTTTTTCATTTCTGTCCCTTAAAGTCTGGCTGCCACAGGTGCCACACGCTCTCACGCACTTATACCTTGGTCACAAGGGGTTCTGTGTCCTCCAGAATGGAGATGAAGGGGATCTCCAGGAAAGAAGACAGGAACTCCACCTGGATCAGTTCTTCCCTGGTGCGCGGAAAGGCGAGCACGGCAGAGACCCCCCTGACCACCAAGTCCTGACAGGCGCTATGATACAGCGACTCCGGGTCCCAGCCAGCGGGGGATCGCGCCACCATCTCCAGGGTCAAGTTGTAGGGCAACAGAGGAGCCGGCTGGGAGGACGTGGTGGTGGAGTCTGCCCCTCCGCTCTGGTGGCGGATGCTCGCCAGGGCGCGGTTGAGCGCGTTTTGTATCCGTGCCGGCTGGCGGGTCGGCAGGAGTGCGCCGAGGCGCACCGTGTGTCCTATCCGCGACAGGATAGGACAAGGCGCGGGGTACGGGAGGCAGATCTCGGCGGATGAAAAGGCGCTTAACAGAGGCAGAAGCAGTAGAGAAAGGAGGCGAGTTCTCCCCAGGGCGAGGCAGCAGGTCCAGAGTCCAGGAAGAGACACCATGCTGTAGATCCGACACGCAACTGAGGAGGACTGGGCTCTGCTCGGCGGGAGATGGCATAGCTCCCTCTTTCTCCCGACGCCGCCGCTTTGCTCGGACTTGATCTTTCTTTTCTGTCCCGCTCCTGTGTGGTTGATGCACGCTGTCAGCTGTGCTTTTGACGTTTCGCCCTTTCAAAGTTTTTACGTCAACAGCAAAAGACGGAGGAGAGCGGAGCGCGTGCAGCTTAGAGCGGTCGCCCTGCTTCTGTCAGTCTGTACCGAAGGAAAGCTCACCAGCTGTGTGTGTGTGTGTGTGTGTGTGTGTGTGTGTGTGTGTGTGTGTGTGTGTGTGTGTGTGTGTGTGTTTTCGTGTGCATGTCGCGCGTGACAATGATCTAGCCTCTCACGGAGCTTGCCTCTTGGTGAATTTTAATGAAAATGTGTTGAGTGACATCTCCTTCCCTTTCGTTGTTTCCGAAAAAAATAAAATTATAACTATTGAACAAAAAACATGAAACATTATTTTCCACGTAACTAATGAACCAAGTTTAAAATTTAATCTCACACAAATTTTCTGATTTGCTTCCAAATGCTGATTAAAGTTTTAAAAGGATAATCTAAAGGATTGTTGCTGGGTCTTTTTTAACTAACAGTGGCGATTTGTTTTCCTTGGTAATAGGCCACTTTTAAGTACCTCCGGGGCTCAGACCAGGATGTTCCTGCCAGACTGGCTAAGACAAAACTAATAGCTTGCTGAGATCACAATTTTCCCCTCGAGATTTATTCCCACTTCCTTTTTGCTGTCCAACGAGAACATTACCCGTTGTGTAGCCACATCTTTTCAGCACCATGGACAGCGCCAGTGCCATAAAAGAGATCTACTGTGCATGATAATTTGGCTCCAAGCAAGGGACAGCACTAAGTTCTGCCTTCATACACTCTGCAGTCAGTAACACCCCCCCCCCCCCAATAATTCGCCATCTCTGAACTGGGACGTTCAACTTAATCTTTATGTCCAGCAGGGAAAATTTGGGAGCTTATATTCACTGTCTCCATCGACTCCTTTTGAACATCTCAGATGATTTTTATTAAAACTTTTCCCTTTCTGACATCTGCTTGTGGTCCTCTTCAGCTCTCTGTGGTTTTTTACACACACATGCACTCTTGCTCACACACATGCGTGGATTCATGGTATCAAGTCATTTCACATCCTGCTGGGTGACCTGGTGTGAAGGCATTTCATTTTACTGATAAACCTGAGAGTTGTGTGAGGTGGGGGAAGAAGTGTTTTCATACGTCTCTTGCCTCTGCTCATGCTCCACTTGCTCTATATGGAGGAGAAGATGAAAAACAACACCGTAGGCTTTGTTTTACTGCAGAAACAGCAGTGTTAAACTCACTCTGCTCTGCACTCCCTCAGGTACCTGTTGAAGCTGGGCTCAACCAAGTACAGGATGACTGTATCCAAATATAACTCGTGTTGATCACAGGGTAAACTGGAGTTCCAGACAAGGTGCCCTAGGAAATCTAAAGGCGTCCTGCTGCCAGTAAACCCAAAAAGTTTGTCAGCTCAACTCAACCCATTATTTCTGGGTTGACAGACTCTGGTCTGATTCTTTTTAAAGGAATACTTAGCAACTTTTTCATATTTAAAATCTTTTTCTTGGGCCAGTATGTGCTAAAATGACCCTTTACAGGGTTAACGAAAGCCAGCCCCTATCGCCCCCTGTGGCCAGAATATTCCACTTGCAATTTCAGACTGGTCACTGCTCTGTTGGGGCTTAAGGTGGCATACCTGGCGCTGCTGTCTGGCTTCAGCACGTTTCCTACATGTTTTAGATCATGAACATAGCTCATTTTTATAATTTAGTGCTGAATCACTGCTGTAGACACTAAGGTAGGCTTAGGAGACACTTAAGCTGTGAGATTAAGGTGCTAATAAGACGAATGCACAATAAGGAGATTGGGTTTGCTTTTGGTTTTATAAACAGACACTGGGGGGTGCTAAAAGCAAGCCACAACTACCTAGTTGCCCTTTAAAAATTTAATTTTGTTTACGTTTTAGTTGTTTCATGCCCTGCTGCTTTCTGTTTTATATTGCCTTCCTGTTTTATTTTGAAGGTGCAGTTCTCCTTTATTTTAAATCAGCTTTGACGTTCCCTTCCTGTCTCCTGTCTGTTCAGTGGTAATTGTAGCCATCTGTGTCTGTCCGCCCCTGTGTATATTTAGTCCCGTCTCTCTCTCTTCCTTTGTTGTTATGTTTGTTCCTCCAGCTCACCGTGTCCCTGCCTTCTGCTTGTGTTTAACTGCCTTCATTTGTTCCCTGGATTCAGGCTTGGATTCCTTGTCATTAAGACTTTTTGTTGAACCTGCCTTTGACCTGCAATGTCTTTTGTTTTTACTCTGTTTCATTAAAGCCTTTTGTCTTCCTTAATCTCCTGTCTTTTGTGTCTTCTGTATGGCCTCTCTGAACTGCTTGCTTTCACTCGACAAAAACAAAATGAGGTCTTGGATGCTTTCAGTAATATTCAGTTGAAGACAAACATGATATTTCAGCCTTAAAGGGGTAGTTCAGGTCTTTTAAGAATAATTACCAAGCAAACGATTTTAGGGTTATATTTTAGGGTCCATGTTGACCCAGAGGGAGCACAGAATTTGATCCACAGGTAATCTACCTGAGCCCTACTTTAAGGTAGCATCTCACCTGTTGTAGAAAACCCTTTAAATGACCTGGATTTGGAGAAATGGTTTAGGTCTTACCAGACATGTGTTTATTAAAAGGGCCCTTCATTTATATTTTGAATACACTTGCAGTTGTCTATAGTATGAAGAGTTGCTGATGCTAATGATTAGCTACTACTAATTGAGATGTTCTCGGCTGTTTCCCGGATCCTAAAACAACAACAGACTTCCCATCTCGAGTCCATGAATGTTAAGCGACAGCGTGACATAGATCTGTCAGGCTTTTCAAATCCCAGCGTTTCGATGTCTATTTTCTATCCAAAGCTAATGCAGAAGATAGAAGTAGGAGACTGCTCGCATTCAGGCTACATGTTAAACTCAAAGCAAGCAATTGCTTTTAGAAATAATAAGTAAAACATGGTTTCTGAGTGAAGAACCTCTTCCAATGCTTGGCCAAGTTCCACAGGTTGGAGACCCAGGCCAATCCAAGCAAAGCCCAAACTAAAATAGGGCTTGTGATCACACCATGATCTTTCTGCATGGAGTTTGCATGTTCTCCCTGTGCATGCGTGGGTTCTCTCCGGGTACTCCGGCTTCCTCACACAGTCCAAAAACATGACTGTTAGGTTGTGGTCTGTCTAAATTGTCCTTAGGCATAAGAGTGTGTGTGTGCATGCTTGTTTGTCCTGTCTGTCTCTGTGTTGCCCTGCGATGGACTGGCTCCCTGTCAAGGGTGTACCCCGCCTGATGGCCCATTGACAGCTGGAGACAGGCACCAGCCCCCCCGCGACCCTACATGGACAAGCAGGTTCAGACAGTGGATGGATGGATTATTCCATCACATAACAAAGCATTTTTCAGGTCAAAAGCAAATGAACAGAGAAAACAACTGTATTTTGATTGAAATTGCTAATAAATAAACCAGAGCTGTCAGTTTGAAAATGTGTCTCCATGTCACCCAGCATTGTTTATGCCTGGAAGTCCTCCAGCTGCTGCTTTTTGCTCGTGTAAATAATTATAAAATATAACTAGCAGCTTAAAAGTAAGTCAGTTCACATGTGAATATTTAGAAAAGTACACTAACTACATTTAAAGTCGGAGGAATGTATATTTTTCAAGATTCAATTTTGGTCTCAACCTTTTTTGAAAGGTAAAACTAAGTCTCTAAACAGAAATTTCTAAAGTCTCACTTGAAAACTTTTTTTAAGCTATTTAACTGACCAACGTAACTAATTTTCTTTCTGTCACAACCGTTATCAACAATCAAACAGAGTCGATCGGTGTTGATGGTGAACATTTTAAAATGAAAATAATCAGCGTGGGATGTTCTTTTTTGCTTTAAACCGCCATCAGTGCCACAAATAAATTACTTCAAAGTCTACATTTATTTGATTGGTTTTCTGAGTAGAGAATTATTGTAAATACAATTTTAAATATTAGTGAAATAAACTAAAAGACAAATGTTTTCTTCATGCAAATCAAAAAGATGCACAACTTATGCTATTTTATTCCATTTCTGGCTTTTTTCCTATATTTCTGTTGCCTGATGTGACTTACTCCCACTTGTTGAACTCTTGCATAAAAATAAAGCTGCTTCTATGAATAGAAATAAAATTTCAGCAGCTCAATACATTTCAAATGGTGGTGCTGTGTAAGTCTCAAGAGCCTTGAAGCCCTTCTGCTGAAATCTGTGCAAAAAGGGAGTAATGACTGGGACATGTCCTCAGCATGTCCCTAAAGGTGGTCTGCAGGTGTCCCAGTCGCATGCTTTGTCAGTATTACTGTTTCTTAATAACAGCCTCTCTCCTGCTGGAGTATTTGCTTTGATTGTGTAAATTGTCAGGGATTAATATGGAGAACAGGATTAGGCAGGCATCAGAAAACTTAATTAAAAGTAGCCCTTCATCTTTCTAAGCAGGGTGATGTCTGTGTTTCACTGTGTGAGATCCCTCCCCCCATTACTTCCTGCCCTCTGTTTGTTCTGCTGCACCATCCTTCATTGCAATCTTTTAAATGTGCACACATCCCCTCCTCATCTGATTCCTTCATCCTTTGATTTCACCTTCATCTCCCTCTCCCCTCTGATCTTTTCCTCCCACGTTCCTCCTTTGCCTTTCATATTTGGTGTCACTTCAAGGTAGGAAGCAAATTTGCCGTTTACCCCTAAATGCAAAAAGCCACACCATTAAACCACATCAGTGATTCATTCCTGAGTCGCAACTGCAATTACACAGGGAAAAGGCTCCTGGAGAACACTGGGGTTCAGCTGAGGGGTGAGCCAACAACAACTGCCAGCGTGAGTGGAGGTGAGTGCTTCTCAGGTGGGAGGGGGTTGGTTTGTGTCTGTGCATGTGTGTGACATCGTCTGTATGTCTGTGGGTAAATGTAATCCTAAGTAATCTGGCAGTACAAACCCAGGTTGCACAGAGGCTTTTAGAAATGCCAGAGAGTTGAGAGTTAGTATTCCTGGCACAGCACTAAAGGCACTATAATATCACCTTTTAGCACAATGCTCACTAACAAGAAGCAAGACAGAGGCAAGGGAGAAGAGAGACAGAGAGGAATAAAGGGAAGAAGAAAGACAATCGAGGGTAGAATGACTGGAAAGGGTTGCAGCCTGCACAGCGAGTCAAGTCAGGA